GTTTAAGAGAAGTGTTTAACTTCTCAAGTGACTGTTATGCGTAATGAAGCCCTGCTTTCCTGGAAATGGCTAAACATCTGCCTGCCAGTGTCAACTAGTGAATTAATTCCTCATTTTGCTTTGCGTTCATGGATAGCTTTTAGTTTCTGTATAGATCTATCTTTTTTTCGTATGTTTTATAACTTTTGCCCTTCCAGTACTTTCTTCCATCCTTGTGGGAGGGGAGTGAGCTGGTGACTGTGGTGGTGAGCTGCCTACAAGGGTTAACCACAACAATCCTTTTGGCATGAAGTATGGATCTTGAAGTGTTTGAGGTAGTGACAGATTTCATTGGAACATGCTAAACCAAGTGTACAACTTACAGCTCTTCAGTTTCTAATTGACAGGCTCATGAGCATGACATAAGGCTCGTTTGTTGTATGGTATATTACAGCCTATTGCTTATTAGTGAATATGTTTTGTTTTTATTGTTTGCTATACACCTTATTATCTCAATTTTCTGTGCCTGGGAACATTCTAATTAAAGCAATGGCCATGCATCCTGACTAGGAGATGGCTATGGCATTGCTACTCTTCCTTGCTGCTATACTGGATGGGCTGGAACTCCAGTGTGAACTTGAGACAAAGGGATTGTGGCTGAGCCCATGTGGGAGCACGTACATCCCAAAGTGTCTGTAGCAGGTACAGTTTGCATTATCTACAGTCACAGATAAGGCTGTGCTGGAACAATATGAAATGTCTAGGACCATGAGTAAGTCCACATATTAGGAGATAATATCTCTGAAAGGACTGAGACTCATGGAAAATGCCAAGACAGATCATGTATACCTTGAAACAACTGTGGCTAAATCCATGCTACATGTGGATACCCCTGAAGAAACTGTAGCTCATGAATAAGTCCATGCCAAAGCAAGTGTACTTCAAGGAGTATGTGGCCGTGGAGAAGTCCATTACAGAGTAGGTAGACCTTTGAAAGGACTGTGGCTCATGGATAAGCCTATGTCAGAACAGGTGCAGATCTACGGGGTTATGGCTTGTGGACAAACCCACAAAGAGCAGGAGAATGGGAAGAATTTCATCACAGTGTTAAAAGCTATGGCCTGTTCCAAAGGGGTGATGTGTGGAGGTTGCAGTAGGTATACATTTAAACTGTTGTAACTCATTATTTGAGTTGCGTGTTATATGAACTACTACTGCAGGAACCACCCAAACCAACGGAGGAGAAACCATGCAAGTGCAACATTGGCCTAACCTGAACCAGCTTTGGAGTTGAGTAACTCCAGGCAATACTCTCTTGTCCTGAATGATCAGGAAGAAACAGAACACAAGTTATGGAATAAATGAACTTAGTAGACACTTTATGGACGTTTTACAAATGTAGCCCATAACCTAAAAGAATGGCATCTGCATTTATATCAAAAGATAGGGAGTACATGGAGTGTGGTTAATGAGGATATGTTGAATAGCGTGGAACCTGAGCATGGTTTAAATATTATAGAATATTGTACTGGTTTGTATTGGTATATTGTACTGGTTTTGTCTGGGATAGAGTTAATTTTCTTCTTTAGTGGCTAGTATGGATTTAGGATTAGAATTATGTTGATAACACGCCGATGTTTTTGTTGTTGCTGATCAGTGCTCCTACTAAGTCAAGGACTTTTCAGCTTCTCAGGTTGCCCTGCCAGCAAAGAACCTGGGGTGGGGCAGGGGAGTTGATGGGAAGGGAGAGGGTGCAATGAGAAGTGGCAGGGGGATAACCAAGACAGCTAGCCCTATCTAGCCAAAGGGATGTTCCGTATCGTATGATGTGCTGCTGAACAATAAAAATGGAGGGAGTCAGCTGGGGAGGGTCTGCGGTCTGCTTTTGCTGAGGGGCTGACTGGTCATTTGTTGGTGAACAGTGAGCAAATTACTTGTTTTATATGATAAGAGTTTTTTTATGTCTTATTATATTGTCCTTATCTCAGTCCACGAGTTTTACTTATTTTTCCTGATACCCTCTCCCATTCAGCTCCTAAGAAGAATGATCAAAAGGCTGTGTGGTGTTTAGCTTCCTGCTAGGTTAAACCTAGACTGTAAACCTGTAGACTAGAGAAAATAGCAGTGAGACCTTATGTTCATAAATGTAGTAGAGTAGTGTCCTTTCATAGTATGCTGGGATAAAGAGCTTTTATCAGTCAGATTGCACAGGGCCAGGAGATAAGGGGCCACACAGAGCTACATTCAGTGCAGTAGAATAGGCATCAAAGGAGTGTGTATAATAAGAAAATTTTACTGTGATGCTGTGTACTGATATGAGCAATGACTCGATGTTATTGTGGAGTATGAAGTACATGAAGTGTATTTTTCTGAGTAGCCTGCTGAATGAGACTTTTCCTCTGGTAGCCTAGTGAAGTGAGGTATTGAGCTGCATTTTGCATGGGAGAAGAAAATGTATATGGGAATACTGTAATAATGGATAGTGTCATGGTTCCGGCCCAGTTCAGCCTGATTCCATGACTAATGCTGAAGGTGAGACCTCTAGGGAGCACACACTGCAGAAATGAGCAGAAAAAGGGGGAGCAGTCTCATGGCTTTTGTCTTTCCCCCTGAACTGAAAATGGAAGTGGAATAATGAAGTCTTCTGGAAGATGTAGTTCATTCTTTCTCTTCTGAGAGCAGCTACTGGGAACTATCAACAAGCCATAGAACTGCGGCATTACCTCTTTAACTCCCAGTGTGCTACATGATGTTACAATGTGGAATATCAATAATAAAAAATCATAAAACCGTGACAGATAGGCAGCAGAACCTGCTGAAGAGAAAATGGCAAGGTCCTTTACTGTTACAAGTTCATACTCAGAGAAATGAGGGTAGGGATTCAGAAAGAATTCCACTGTCAGGAAATAAATCAGTCTTTTGTATAACTGGAACCAGCTGTACAGGGAGCAGCTTTTCAGAGAAACACTTAAGTGCCAAGGGGGTTGGAGCTGGAATAGGCTGCAGTGCCTGAGTCAGGACTACGTCTTAGTCTGAATTACTTACAATGGGACTACTAGGACCAAATGAGGGCTTATTCTCATTCATTCACCACTGAGAAAGCTGCTTCAGACTGAATACACTGTAAGCATTCTGCGGAAGGGAGATATCAACAAAGCGGAGTGACAGGAGCAAGTGTAAGCTAATACCTTTTCCTCATTAGCCTTGAAGCTGGGAGTACACTCCAAGCCAGGAAAGGAAAATCAGTGATACTCCTGCTGAGCTGGAGATCACTAGAGCTCATCCCTATTGCATTGAGTGTTTTATTGGTGTGACAGTCAACTGTCACAAGACCACAAAAACAAGTCTGTGCTCAGCATAAGGCTGTTCCAAGCCTAAGGCTAAAGTGAGGTGGACAAGTGTCTAGCTATACCCTCTGATGGCATTTCTAGTTGAAAACACCAGAGCAGAGTAAAGCATGGCAGAATAAAAGATCCCCCATCCCTGTCTGTTAACTGAGGTGAAGAGTGTGGCTTATTTCTCCAGCTACTTTGTTCCTGGACCACATCTGCCTGGCCTCTGGGACCAAACCCAGTGTCCAGGGATCCAGGGTCTCTGCCTAGGCTAGGGGATGCGGCTGCTGCTTTCTCCTTTGTGGGTTCAACTGGTAGCAAAGCTGAGCACATATCCCAGGGAAACACAGACATACACAGGGACATGACAGTGATGCAACAGGTCACAAAGTCTGCACCAGTCAAGGACTGCCTTCAGCAGAATTCACATAAAACACAGACAGATAGCCAAGACCCCTTCTTCTTCTCTGGCTTGTAAATACACCAGTTCACCAGTGAGGGCACATATACAAACTGAAAAATGGTAGAAGTGATTAAAAAAAAAAAATTACAGAACCTTCAGGCACATCTGCCTGGGTCAGCCCCTCTGTCTGTCCAGTACTGGCACCAATTTTCAATCACACACACACAGTTCTCACTGGCAGCCAACATGTAGTCTTTGCAGCATGTGCACGCACATGCACACACACAAGAGAGAGACAGAGTGTTCATACTACAGAAGGAGTTAGAAAAGATTACATTATAAAAATAAAATAGGACAGACTATGATGATCATTGCAGGGCTTGGCCAAACAATCATACTGGTTGGCTGCATTTCACATGCAACACTGCTTTTCTACACTCTTCCAGCCTGAGAGCACTGTGTTTCACAGTCTTATCATTTAGGATGTTTACCCTTCCTAGAAATGGCACCTGTACCTTGTTAGCTCACCAGTTAGTGTGACTGGGAGGTTTGTTTTTTGTGATTGCCTTTCACTTTAGAAGTTCTCCATCAGGTGAAAGCATTCCTACATTTACATCTGCTCAGAAATTAGGGTGAATGACCAGACTTGGTTTCCATAACATCCTCCCTTTATTATCTCTTATGCCTCAGAAAAAGACCCGTGTCCAGATACACTTAAAAGAACATTCTTCTACATACCCTTACGCTGTCCACCCCTCTGGCACGCATGAAATGCATAGATTAGAACAGGGGGAATCATAGACTGTATCATAGAATCATAGAGTGGCCTGGGTTGAAAAGGACCACAGTGATCATCTAAACTTGCTGAGGGTGCACTTGGTGCCATCATCTATGTCACTGATGAAGATGTTGAAGAGCACAAGTCCCAAGACCAACCTCTGAGGGACTCTGCTTGTGACTGGCCTCCAACCAGACATAGAACTGTTGATCACAAGCCTTTGGCTGCATCCAGCCAACCAATTCTTAATCTACTGAAGAGTCTATGCTTCAAATGCATACCTCTCCAATTTAGAAAGAAGGATGTGGCAAGGGACCATGTCAAAGGCTTAGTAGAAGTCCAGGAAGAGACTGCTAGTACTTTAGGAACTGCTCTGATCCAGATATCTGAGCAATGCAGCAGTCTGGGACAAGCCTGGCTGTAAGAAGAGAAGATATTGGTGACTCTGGAGATTGATGGATGTCTGAAAAAGTCTCACACGCAAGAAAAAAAGTCCAAGACACAGTGATGTAAGATTCAGGTTTATTTGCATTGCACCAGGAAAAGGACATAGGATCTTTGCATTTCTAAGCGAAATTCTTCATCATCAGGGTAGATTTAGGATTATAGATTGAAATCAGATGGAAAATATTCAGGAATCCTATAATTCAAGGAAGAGGATTAAAAAAATCAGTAATGTTCAAAGATTTTCTTTCTCCCTAACCCTCTCTTGTCTTAGGCTGCAGAGACAGTCAAGGCCAAGGGCTGTTTCCCCGGGCTGGAAGGAGTTCTGTTTTTCTACACTCCTCCAAAGCCTGGAAAAAGGGCAATTTCCTTCCAGCTCCCTTTGTGATTAAGTTCAATTTAATTCAATTTTTTTTTTTTTTTTTTTTTTTACTTACGTAGATGACTGGTGTCTCAAAGCTGTTCTGTAAGGGAAAAAGAGTTGTGTCAGTGCTGAAAATACTGTGTGCAGCTAGGACTTTTATTTTAATTGAGTAGTCCAGCTGCAGCATGATGGCTCCTTCATTCCACAAAATCATGAATGAGCTCAGGAAGATGATCCCCTTTACAAAGCCTTGGAGTACCTTGTAGTCATGATGCATTACAGTGTAACGTGGATGTGTAAAGGCAAGCTTATGAGTCCAACCAATAGATTTTTACTTTCTTTTCTGCACTGAAGAGTGCAGACAACTGATTCTGGGAAAGTCTGAGACTAAATGGTAGACAAGAACTCATCAAAATAAAAAATCTAGCAGAAACCATGGAAATAATGGACGTATTATACTAGTTCAGTTGATACTGTTCCCTGCTTCAAACTCCATTTTTTTTCCCTCCAAAGACACACCATCTTGTTTAACAATGATAGCAGTTTCCTGCGATCTTAAATGAAAGAAATTGGACACACTCACCGTATGGTGACTGAAGTTCTGGCCAACCGGCTGGATTCCCATCAAATCCAATACCGTTCTGCAAGAAAAACACAGCTTTAGTGGGGCTGCCCAGGAGCTCCTGGTGCTCTTTATCCCATGTAGTGCAAAGCAGAGACAACCCAGGAGCTGTTTGTGTGGGGTGGTAAGGAGAGAAGGGCTGCTTGAGTGTGGAAATACTCACCCCTAGGGTACCCTGGGGATTCTGAAAGTTGAGAGAACAGAGTGTTATGAGAATCCTACTTTGCTACCACCATGTCTACCCCCTTCCCACATTGTCCAGAACCCTTAGACTGGGGCAGAGAAAGGAGTTCAGGCTATGACCAGAGTTACATCTGTGTGGAGGCACTTAGGGGAAGAAGGATTGTAGACCCTGCGGACAAGAGTTGGATCAACGCAGAAGATGTTCCCAAAGTCCACTCAGTGCTTTCCCAAACCTAGTCCAGTCTGAAGCAGCAGACAGACCTTAGGCCAGGGCTGACTGCTCAGGGTTGGGATGTTCATGGTTTTCTTCCCCCATACCCGAACTTAAGAGCACAGGGAAAGGGCAACTGTCTGTTAGTTCCTTTTGCAATGGAAGTTGTGATCTATTGCAATACTCACATAGACGGCAGGGGGTACGAAGCCAACCTACGGTAGAGAAGGTGAAGAGAGAAAAAGAAAGATATTTGTGAGTGCTAGAGATTTTGTGAGGGCAGATGAGGTGGGGAAGGCTCAACTGAAAGTACAGGCTAGTTCTAAAGTGAGCAACTAGTCAGGCCCAAGTCCTGGTGGTCATGGCCCTCTCCAGATATAGAGTATCTACCCTGAGATTTGAACTGGGCTTTATGCAGTAACTCTCCACTGCAATATGTGGGATGCAGTAGCAAGAGTAGAGCTGTTTTCCTTTCCTATTTATACTGAGATGGACAAAAAAGAGCACAGAACAAGTGTGGGTTCCAAGGATAAGGAGATGACACCATAAAATTCTGATACCTTCAAAGCTACATTCCCATCCTCATGTGTCAGTGCTACATAATATTCCCCATCTTCCAGTACACAAACCGTGCACCTGAGACATAATAATTTGTGTTCCTCTTTCACCGCAATTCTTCCCATCTCTTCGTTCTCCTTTTTCAGTAATCTCAAAGTGCTCTGCTTTGGGCATTTGTATAGTTGTGTCCTTATCTTCATGTATTTCTGAGTTTGCAGTATCTCACAATACTCTTCCTTCCTCTTTCCTCATGTCCCATTGTTTTGGAGTTTGTCCCACATCTCACAACCTCACAATTCCTACTATGCTTTCAGTGTTCCAGGCTTTGTCTCAGACAATTGCCTCCTCCATTCTACACTAAGACCAACTTCCAAGGATCTTCTAGGACCTCCAGGATAAGACATATTTTGCTGAAGTCTGAAACACCCACTGCATGAATTCTGTACAAGAGTGCACTTCAGTTCTCCCAGCTCCTATCACCTCCCAGTTCCCTGTATTTTCAGAACAAGCGAAGTGAAGGGGCAGAAGTCAATGCTCCTCTCCCACACTAAAAGCAGACTGCAGATAGCACTGAGGAAAACTTCCTGGAAGGATTCTGTAAAGGGCATTATGGCAACTAGAACAAGTTGGAATGGCTTGGAAATCCCACTGTGCAGAAAAAACTACTCTTTTCTTGAGAAGTAGCATAGTACTGGTGGCACTGGAGCAAGAAGAAATAATGAATCCACATTTAGTGAGGCTTTTGACAATGACAAATGTCCAAGAAGTTAAGGGCCAATCTTTACTCTGCACAGAGAAGAGAATGGATATTCTGTGGGCTTCTTTCCCCAGACTCATCCTCAGTTACCCCAGAGAGTGCCTCAGTTCTTACCCCATTATCACTGAAGGTCTGACCAGCAATCCCGCCAAGGCCGCCACCGTTCTGCAAGAAAAACACAGCTTTAGTGGTGCCTTACCAGGATCTCCTGATGCTCTTTATCCCATACAGGGCAAAGCAGAGACAATCCAGGAGATGTTTGTGTGGTGTGGGTAAGGAGAGAAGGACTGCTTGAGTGTGGGAGTACTCACCCCTAGGGTACCTTGAGGTTCCTGAGAAGTTGAGAGAACAGGGTGTTATGAGAATCCTACTTTTCTACCACCTTTGTTCATTTCCTACCCCTCCCAGCTTGTCCAGAACCCTAAGACTAGGGCAAAGAAAGGATCTCGGCTATGTGGGGAGTTATGTCTGGGTGAAGACACTTAGGGGAAGAAGGTGTGTAGATCCTTCCTCCATATCCAAACTTGGGGGCACAGAGAAAGTTCAACTGCCTGTTAGTTCCAGTTGCAATGGGAAGCTGTGGTCTGTTGCAATACTCACATAGGCGACAGGGGGGATGAAGCCATTCTAGAAGCAGAGAAAATGGAGAGAGAGAAAGAGAGAGAGAGGAGAGAGATTTGTGAATGCTTACGCATTTTTATGAGCATCACCTAGGACTGTGATGTTGTGTAATTCTGGAATCTATCTTCTTCCCAAGCTTGTCTGGCTTTATCAGCCTGGCTTTCAGAGAAAGGTTCTGCCCCCTCCTCTGTGGTTTGACTCATATCCCCGCACACTCACCCCATTGTTGAAGCCGCCTTCTCCAACTTGGTTCCAGTCCTGAAAGGAATACACAGAGTCTATAGCTGTAGTCTTGTCATGACTAGAGCCAGGAACAATCAGGACCAGATGGACAGCATGAGGAATAAGGCCCCCGGAGTGCTCCAAGTTCTAAGACCTACTACAGTTGTAGAACAGCTGGATGTTCTTAGTCCCTTGACCACCTCCTCCCCATCACAGTCCTTTTACAATCCTACTAACAGTTTCCATATACCTTGAATTACCCAGCCCCTCCCATTTTTCCTACCAGGGGAAGTGCGTTTGTGCCTCCGAGCACTAGGAGACAAACAGCCAGGACCGCAACACAGATCTGTCCCTTCATGGCTTCTTTCTTCCAACAGAGTACTCAGTACTTCAGGCTGGAGCAATGCACAATGCTGAGCCTGGGGCTAGATTTATAGGGCACAGCCAGATCTTGCCACATCAGCCTTGACTGAGCCAGCCCTGATATCCTGACCAAGCCCATGTTTTTCCTGCTATCATGTGCCCCTACCTTGGCTTATCACTACCTCCTAATCTCCCTCCACCACTCCTTTTTTTGGACAATACCTTTGTTTTGATCTTTCAAGGGGGATGTCAACCGTTTCACACCCAAACTCCATCTTAGATCTACCTTTGATATTAGATCAGTATGTTTGAGCTCTGGGACAGAGCAGTTCGGAATTTTTCCACAGATGAGGAAACATCCCAATTCCTGGCCCCAGCTCCTATCCCACAACTGCCTGATTCCAGTGACAAGTGATTTGTTCCTCTGGGTGGTGATATCTTGTCACTCTGTGGGATATCCACAGCCCTCCTGTAATGCTGTGTTCTGACTGTTTGGTTTTAGTAAGTCTCCCAAACTCAAGAGGAACCTACATATTCAGATTTAGCTCTGTCCTTCTCCATGTCTGGGAGATGTCTCCTTTGTGCCACGTTTCCCTAGGTGCTTTGCTTTAGGAGGAGGCCAGAGAATGACTTTCCAACAACCTTGGTTGTTTTGGCAAAGATCGTTACCAGCTCTGACTTTCATCAATTTTCAGACATAATGAACCTGACAGTGTTTTTGGCAATGACTTTGAGCATGGCCTCCTCCTGGCCAGTACTGGCAAATAGGACAAAAGTATCTCCAATAAATATTTGCCAGTGTTATCAAACAAGGTGCCTATTCAGAGAGAAAGCTGCACCCAGAATGGCCCAGGGGCCTCATGGTAATTTCACAGTAATAGGAGTGTTTCTGCAGTGGGCACCCTGGAGCTGGAGGTTTGAAACTTTCCATCCCCTCATCACAACAGACTGGGCAAAGCTGAGACCAGTGTTCCAGGAGGCAGCTCAGGAGAGGACTGAGGCTTGCTGGGACAACACACTACTACCTTCATGGTGCCTTTTGTCAATAAACTACCATCCCTGGGGCTCTGATAGTCAGAATAGAGCTGTCACAGCCAAGAAGGGAATAATCTTCCACTCTGCTTCACACTAGGAGCTTCAGAGATCATGGAGATGGTGTGAGCTGGAACACAAGGCAGGTGCAGAGAGGTTCAGGGTTCTGGGTTTGTGCAGCCAGGAAGCAAGCATCAGTTGCAGTCTCTCTTTCCTCAGACAGAGCTGAGGAGGGGTTGGACACAGACTTGGAGGTATGCAACAAAGGACTGAAAGTTGATAGGCATAAGCTGGATTGGGAGTTATCCTACTAGGGCAGAGAGACAAATCATTTGCCAGAGACGTGAGGCAGCCCTGGGCAGAGTAAGTGAGAGATTGGTTTGTACCTGGGAACATTTTCCAAACTGCCCTCACCCTGTCCATGTGAGATCTGTCCTGATGCTGCTTGAACTCCAGCAAGTTCAGTTCCAAGGCAATTTCTCTGGGGAGCCTGTTCCAGGGCCTGACTACCCTTTAGTGAAGAATGTCTTCTTAACAGCCAACTTGACCATCCTCTAACACAGTTCCATGCTGTTCTCTCAAGTGTTTTCACTGCAACCAGAGAGAGGAGATCACATTGCCCTTGTGAGAAAGCCATTCGCCACAATGAGGTCTCCCCTCTGTGTTCTTCCTCTGGGCTAAACAAACTAAAGGGACTTCAGCCATTCCCAGTACATCTTCCCCTCTAGACCTTTCATCATTTGGACCTCCTTTGGACACTGTTTAATAATTTAATGTCCTTTTTGTACTGTGGCACCCAATCTGCACCAGTGTGGAGTGTACAGCAGGACAATTACTTCCCTTGATGAGTTAGCAATGCCATACTCGATGCACTCTGGGATATGGTTGGATTGGGAGCCAGTATAGCTGTATTCTCACCTCAGCTTGGAGAAGAAAATAGGAAGCCAGACATTCATGGAAGTATGACTTTATCTGCTGGCCAAAACCTACAAGCCCATACAGGTGGAATTCAAATTTGGCCATATCCATACCCACTCTGTCATTCACAAGGGTTCCCACGTTCTTCTACCACTCTGAGAGATGTATTCTTGGATGACTGTAGGAGGAGGATGAAAAAGAGGAAGAACAAATACAGGGCCCAGAGTTTTGCCTCCATGGTTAATGCAGTGCAGGGCTGATGGGAACCAGAACTTTGGACAGATGGTTGAACTGAATCCCTCCTCTTCACCAACAGGGAACAGTTTGACCCTTGTCTAATGTGTTTGGCACTTGACATAGGCTCAGAGTGCATCATAGATGCGAGCAGAGAGGTTTGTGCCTGGAGAGGGAGAAGGGATAGAGGTTGTGTTCTTATGTGTGTAAGAAATTATGTGCTTGTTTATATGTAGGCAGTATAGCATGCACAACAGGTGGGTAGGTGTGCAATCATTTACGTGTTACCTCAAAAGAATGTGCATGCACAGGAAGTATGTTTAATGTTTATTGTGTGTATATATGAGATGAGTGTATATGCACTTGAGAAAATACGCATGAGTATGTGTCTATTCACCACGATGAGTAAGCAATGGTGTGTATGTGATATGATGTATGTGCATACATACACTACATATATGCGTGCATGTGTGTGTGCATACTCATGCGTGTGCATTTGACCAAACATCAGAGAGTAATTACAGCACTGCTCACAGAGAGCAGCTCCCAGAAGCAGCCAGTAGGTACAGAAGTTTGGGCAACAGTCTTCGTCTCTCCTTTTTGATATTTGAGAACATTCTGGATTGAGGTAAAAGAGCCCCAGAGAACACCAGGCAGTCCTCTGATAAACTCGATGATGCTTGCTCTTGTTAGGCAAAAACAAAAGTAATGGAAGCAATTAGTGTCTGGGCCCAAGGAAGTTGTGGATGCCTCTAGCAAGATCAATGATCTTCTAATGAACATGCTTGACCTCAGGTGCTGAGAGCATGATATTCTGTGGTATGGAATATACCTTTGATCAGTTTGGGTCAAACATACTGTTTGTGTTCCTTCCCAGCTTCTTTTGCTCCCCAGCCTCCTCAGTAGTAGAGCAGTGTGAGAAGCTGAGAAGTCTTTAGCTTAGTATAAGCTTAGTATAAGCACTGCTCTGAAACAACTAAAATGTTGATGCATTATAAATATTATTTTTCTACTAAATCCAAAAGAAGGCACCACACCAGCCACTATGGAGAAAACGAATTCTATTTCAGCTGAACCCAGGACCATATTCACCTCTTATTCTGTATTTTCCATCATACTGGAAAATACGTATACTTTCCAGTCTGTACACATTAAACATCATCATCCTTCTTATCCTTTGAAAAACAGGTATGATTCCCCTACTCTGTGAGCCTTCCCTTTAAATTGTCTCTTTAAAACATCTGTTGAGCTCATTTTAGTACATGACTTTGGGTTCCATCTGTCGTAACAGTCCTTCAGGGCTGGAGAGTTTCTGTGTGGTGTTAGATTGTTGTATGCTGAAACCGGTTCTGGCTCTCTCACATCTGCAGTCATCAAGTTATATCACCACTGTCCATTTCTTGGTTCCATCAAAATTCATTCTTCATCAGTCTTGGTGACTCTTAATGGTACTACTGGTGATATGACACATATCAATCATAGTATCAATGACATACAGTATTATATAGCAATTAACACGATACAAGTCAAATTATTGGCAATTCTCACCCAATATTGAATTCCCTTGAGATACATACTGGACTTCCTCATTCCAAATGCACACCGGCTCCTGATCACAACCAGTCTCACAAATGGCTTTGTTTTTACTCAAGGCAGGAATAATTCTGACTGTCTTGCCCAGAATAATTTTTAGGTGCACTACAGAGACTTTATTCCCTTCTACAGTACGTAATAATTTTTGACTGAGCAGAGCCAGCTCGACTGACAGATCTGCTAGTATCGAGTAACCACCTGTCTTTTGGTAGACATGTATATCTGAATGTCCCAGCACCCAGTGCTCTCAGTGAGAGAGAGAGGCTTTACCCACTTGGCTTGCTTGATTGCTTTGCATGTTTCACATTCATAGATTATCTGTGCAGTAGTGCCCATTATCAAGTCCACCCCTTGGTCATGAGCCCATTTATATATTGCACCTCTTTCTTGGTGGCCTGAGATATCATAAACCCACCAAGCTATAAATAATTCAGTTTTACATTGCCAGTCCAAATCCAATTAAGGCCACTCAATCCTCATATACTGATCCACTTGCTTTAAAAAAAATTTTTCTTTTCTTTTCTTTTCTTTTCTTTTCTTTTCTTTTCTTTTCTTTTCTTTTCTTTTCTTTTCTTTTCTTTTCTTTTCTTTTCTTTTCTTTTCTTTTCTTTTCTTTTCTTTTCTTTTCTTTTCTTTTCTTTTCTTTTCTTTTCTTTTCTTTTCT